TCTCATCATCTTACGTGATCTTTCTCAAATCTCAGAAACTTCTCCGGAGATGATCGGATTTGTAAGCAGCGTACGTGTCAACTTTGCCGAAACACTCTTAATTTTTTACCATAGCCTCCACGTATGATATCATGACAACTCGATGAATTTTGTGATTTTCAGACTTCGTTTGCTTTTTATAGAATTTTCAGACGTTTCCACCACGCGTTTCTGCTCATGTTTCGCGAACACAATGTTCGAAATTTCTGGTCTGGCCCTAGATATGGTCTCAAAACAGACTCAGTGACAAGAATATCATTTTTATTCACTTTTTTTGGATATTCAAAGCACTTGCAGTTCAAATCCAAAAAATTACCGAAAATTCATTGGACTAAAATAAATTGACGAAATATAGTAAAATAGCTCAGAAATGTACAAAACTTCAACACAGAGCAACAGGTATTGTAAGACAACAGTACAAAAAGTTTGGGGGGCAAAATAAAAAAAAATTTGTTTGCCAAGTGTCAGATGCTGACACTCGACATATAACAGAATTTGCTGAGTGTCGCAAGGTGACACTCGGTATATATGTGGGTTTGCCGAGTGTTGTATTTTGACACTTGGCATATAGGTGGGTTTGCCGTGTGTTAACGTGTGACACTCGGCAAAATGATAACGGAGGTCGACGGTGTTACCCGGATATGAAATTGCCGTGTGTCTATTGTTTGCCGAGTGTAGGCACTCGGCGTAAAATGTTATGCCGTGAGTTTTCTTGTTGCCGAGTGTCGTATTTGGGACACTCGGCAAACACCATGTTTGCCGAGTGCCCGAAATCTTGCCCACAGCAAAGGTGGGGACACTCGGCAACTTAGGTGTTTCCGGTAGTGGTACATGATACTCCATGTTAAAATTTGGTACATTTTTATGGCTTTTTGCTATATTTAGTTATTTTATTTCATTTAATTGAATTTTTTCGGAAAATGCAAATTTGAACTGCACGTGCATCGAAAAATGGAATTTAATGATCCAAAAAAATGATATTCATGGTATTGAGTGTAGTGTGAGGCCGTATCCAGGAACGGACCCAAAATTTCGAACATCTTATTCACGAAACATGACCACGAACTTGCGGACAAATTGTTTTTAAATTCTATAAAATGCAAACGAAGTCCGAAAATCACGAAACTTGTCGAGATGTCATGATATCGTATGTGGAGGATGTGATAAAAATTTGAGAAGATTTGGTGCACGTTATCATGTACGATGCTTACAAACTAGGACATCACGTACGATGCTTACAAATCAGGACATCACGTACGATGATATTTCTTCAATTAGCTTTGCATTACTGAAATATTAGAGTGAAATATTATAGGGCAGCTGGAAGAAGAAGCAAGGCAACGTCAGGATCTGGCGGCCCAGCTGTAGTCCGAGCGGGCCGCGCGAGAGGCCTAGGCGTAGAGGATGGCGGAAATAATGCAGTTCATGCAGACTCTTGGGCAACATATGGGTCTAGCTGTGCCACCTGGGCTGTTCGCTCCACCTTCGACTCCTGCAGCTGCAGCTACTCCTGTGAGTTTTCGCTTGTGCTTTGCTTGTATGACCTAGATTAGCTATTCAAGTAATCTTGTCTAACACATGCAATCTCATCTCCTTTGTACAGCCTCAGTCGGAGGGTTCAAATAATCCAGCTCATGCGCCTCCGACTGATCTAGTTTTTCCTTCACCAGGCACTCAGTTTCCACCTTGGTGATGAGTAGCATTAGTTGTATTTGTATTTATTGTTCACTTGGTGATGGATTTCTTATATACTTATCATGCACTAGTGGTATATTTGGATAACTGTGATATATGTGATAGATGTTTGGATTGATGTATGTGATATATTGTGATGAATGTGATATATGCGATGGATGTGATAAATATGTGATGTATGTTTGGATGGATGTGAGATATATGTGATAATTTGTGTTTGTCGTGATGGAATGTAAAAAATGAATAAAAACACTGATTTTGGTCAGTTTGCCGAGTGCAATGGTCACTGCACTCAGCAAAGCTGAAAAAAGGGACGCCAGCCCCTTTTTCCAGCTTTGCCGAGTGCCATGATGACACTCGGCAAAGAATTGTTTAAAAAAAATAAAAAAACTTTGCCGAGTGCCACCCATCCGGCACTCGGCAAAGAATTTTTAAAAACATAAATAAAAACTTTGCCGAGAGCCACCCGTCCGGCGCTCGGCAAAGAAATTTAAAAAAATAAAATAAAAACTTTGCCGAGTGCCATCCTAGACGGCGCTCGGCAAAGAATTTTAAAAAAATTAAAATAAAAAAATTTGCCGAGTGCCAGCCCGGGCGGCGCTCGGCAAAGAATTAAAAAAAATGAAAAACTTTGCCGAGTGTCGTCCGGGTTGGCACTCGGCAAAGTCGCCATCACCGTTTCCTGCGCTGTGACGGCTCGTTTTATTTGCCGAGTGCGGTCTCGGCACTCGGCGAAAGCTGCCCGACAAATGGCTCTCAGCAAAGGCTGCTTTGCCGGCCATTTTTTTCCCGAGTGGCCTTTGCCTAGTGCGGCACTCGGCAAAACGCCTGAATCCAGTAGTGATATACTTATGAATAAACTTTATTTATAACATACCACCTCAGATTCATTGTTCCAAATTATAAGACGTTTTAGGTTTGCTAGATACATAGTTTTTAACATTTCCGGTATGTTCGCTTGTTGGTTTTAGCCAGGGCTTATCAGCATGATATAGTGTTTTTCTCTCATAACAAACCAGCACCAGCCGGGCTTATCAGCCCAAAAACCAACCAGCGAACAAGCTGTTCGTATAGCACAGACGCATGGAATCAAGGATTGAGAGAAAGATCGAGAGGAAGACAAACTAGATGTATAGCGTTGGTTTTCTAGATGGTTGGATTTATGATCTAATGGCTACTATTCAACGCTCCAAGAAAACTTTAAAATCAGGCGCCTGAGAAATAGCAACCCCCATAGTTTTTCTATGCATTTAAATATACACTATATCTAGATATATATAGTAAAAGTAATGTAGCTAAATTAAGCCAAAACATATAATTTAGAACAGATAGAGTAGTTGATATTCGATGCGAGCCAATCATCCTCTCTGTCATGGATGGATGAGGATATGTTGTAACCTACCGACACTATGGGATACAGTCGTTTCGCCGAGTGCCAGGGGCACTCGGCAGTAGCCCAAAAATACTCGGCAACTGCTTTGCCGAGTGTAACACTCGGCATACAACACACAACATCTTTTTATCGGCAAATAGCTATTTGCCGAGTTCTTTTTGTCGGGCACTCGGCAAAACCTTTGCCGAGTGCCGGAAAAGCATTCGGCAAAGATTTACACTCGGCAAAATGAAAATGCGAAAAAACCCCAAAAATAATAGTAAAATTTTTCAAATTTTTTTTCGGGGAAGGCTGCCACCAGCTAGCGCCCGCCCGTCTTCATCGAAGTCGGTGCATTTTTTGCGCTAAATTCGTGGCTAACGCGGCCGGCGGGATTCAAACTCACGACCTCCCTCTCGCGTGTCTGCTGCTCTACCACTGCACTACACTGTCACTTATGTCTAGATTCCGTTATCTATCATCATATATTATACTAAATCGAGAGTGAATTACCTGTTTTGAGGCCCTAAACGAATTCAAATAAAAAAGTGGTCAACTATAAAGTTTCATAACTTTTCGAGATCTATAATTTTTATTTAGGAAGTTTTTCCACCCGAGGTCGTTTGAAAAATTCAAATTTCAAATTTGAGAGATTCAAACGTAGTTTTGCATGATAAGATGATTTCAAATCAAAAAGTTGTCAACTACATAGTTTCATAACTTTTGGAGATCTACAATTTTCATTTAGGAAGTTTTTCCATCCAAGGTCTTTTGAAAAATTCAAATTTTAAAATTTTCAAATTCAAACATCGTTTTTGCATGACAAGATGATTTCAAATCAAAATGTTGCCAACTACAAAATTTCATAACTTCTCAAGATCTACAAAGTTTATTTTGGTCATTTATTCATCCGACATAGTGGTAGTAACATTGTTCACAAATCTTATATATCTCTCTTCTACTTTCATGAAACTAATATGAGAGATGTAGATTTTATGAACAACGTTATTGTCGCTTTGTCAAATGAAGAAATGACCAAAATAAACTTTATAGATCTTGAGAAGTTATACAACTTTGTAGTTGAAAAGTTTTCATTTGAATTCATTTAGGGCCTCAAAAATTGCTTTGAAAAACTGATTTGCCGAGGAAAAAAAATACACACGGCAAAATGCCTCTTTGCCGAGTGCCAAAACAAAGGCACTCGGCAAAATACATCTTTGCCGAGTGCCAGAAAAAAGGCACTCGGCAAAGACGCATTTTGTCGAGTGTGTTTTTTTTGCCGAGTATATTTTATTTGGCACTCGGTAAAGACCGTTTTTGCCGAGTGCTCGATAAAATACACTCGGCAAAGCCTCCGGCACTCGGCAAAGTACCGGTTTCCGGTAGTGCGAACACAGCTGAAGATGACTCATGGATGCAGGTGATAACAGCACCGGTCCGGTGTTTGGCCCAATCGTTCTCCCTTCTCACGAATGCCCAATTAAACTAGCTAGTAACATGGCCAAATTGCACTGCTGCAATTAGCTAGCGTGCTTAGTGTGCAGCCCACTTCTGCGCTGCACATACGTACAAATAAACTTTATATATGACATAGTTAATTAACATTTTTAACGAGCCAATGCAATCATGCATCCTCAATCATATATAGATGGTTGAGGATTTGTTGTAACCTACCGAACACAGCTGACGAGATGATCGACTCATGCAGTGATAGCATACATCACAAGAGCACCGGTGCGGTGTTTGGCCCAGTCGGCTGTTCTTCCTTGTCATACATGCCTGCCCAATTAAACTAGCTTAAGCTAGGAGCGTAGGAACGTGTCCAAAATGCATTGCTACATATAAACATGCGCACCCGGGGAGGGAGACTTAGCCAATTGTGTAGTGTGTAGCCATGAGGTCTCTTCTCCACACCACCAATGACAATAATCCCCATCCCCCTGCTGCTGGCAGCAGGAAGCAGCAGCACTGGCACTGCAGCAGCAGATGCTTCGTCGTGTCCCTTCTCCTGGTCCTAGTAGCTCTCGTAGCTTCGGACGTGTATCTCAGCTTCCCAAACCGACGGAACCTTCTTCCGTTATTCCGCCAGCCGCTGCTGTCTCGCCGACCTAGCAAACAGCGAGGAGGTGGCGGTGAGGGCGGCGGCTGTGACATTTTCAGGGGCGAGTGGGTGCCGGACCCGGACGCGCCCTACTACACCAACGACACCTGCAAGGTGATCCACGAGCACTACGACTGCATGAGGTACGGCAAGCCGGACCTGGGCTTCGTCAACTGGCGGTGGCGCCCTGACGGCTGCGACCTGCCCCGCTTCAATCCATGGCGCTTCCTCCACATGATGAGGGGCAAGTCCCTTGCCTTCGTGGGCGACTCCCTCGGCAGGAACCAAAAGGACTCGCTCATCTGCCTCTTGACCAGGGTCGCGGAGCCTACGACAACGACCTGGCTTAGCAGCAAGCACACCGTGTACTACTACGGCGACTACAACTTCACCGTGTCCCACTTCTGGGCGCCGTACCTCGTCCGGCACGAGCAGATCGACGAGGACGGGCCAGCGCACACGGGCGTCTGGAACCTCTACCTCGACGAGCCGGACGACGTGTGGGCGGCGCACGTCGCGGAGTTCGACTACGTCGTCGTGTCGGCGTCGAGCTGGTTCTACCGCCCGTCCATGCTGTACGAGGCCGGGCGGCTCGTCGGCTGCCACTACTGCAAGCTGCCCAACGTGACCGACCTCACGCTGCGCTACGCGCTGCGCATGGCCACGCGGGCCGCGCTGCGGGCGCTGTCTGGTGCCGGCGATGGCAGCGGCCGGTTCCGCGGCACGGCGCTGCTGCGCACCGTGGACCCGTCGCAGTACGAGGGCGGGGAGTGGAACGGGGACGGCAACTGCGTCCGGACGGCGCCGTACCGGCGTGGCCAGAAGAGGGTCGAGGGCTTCGAGCGTGATTTCCGCGCGCTGCAGGCGGAGGAGTTGTCGTCGGCGGCGAAGGCGGTGACGGACAGTGGCAGCAAGGTGAGGATGCTGCTGATGGACACGACGGAAGCCATGATCCTGCGTGCGGACGCGCACCCGAGCAAGTACCGGGGATGGACGCCGGAGAAGCACTTCACCCTGCACAACGACTGCGTGCACTGGTGCCTGCCCGGGGCCATTGATACTTGGAACGACATGCTGCTCCATATGTTGAAATGATCAGCAATCAATAATTTGAAGAGTCAATAAAGTCAACTCAGTGCGGCTGCAGTGTAAAGTGTACTATATGGTATAAGTACGTACAATCGATCGCATGCAGGGTGCAAAATGTATAGTCGGATAAATATATGGAATTATGGATACATACATATATAAACACACTAGCTGGGCCGAACCGAGTGTTTTCTTGTGGGTGTGCAAGCCTTATGGCTTTGGTTTGTATCTGGATTACTTTATCAACTGTGTGTACCCTCTACGGGTGGTATATTGCCTATTACGTATATGAAGCGCACCTAGGCAGACGACAGTAACTTGCCTTGAACAGCTACTGAGCCCTGATGCAGGAAATCTAGCTAGTACAATAAGAGGACGGTAGTAACATTTATTGCCCACAGGATCATCGGCTCAGGTGAGTCGACTACTCACCGGTCTTGTCAAGCACCCGCTAGTGTTGTCGAGCACCCATTAGCCGTGCCGGCCACGAAGAAACGTTGTCCGTCCCCACACACTATGGCTAGAGCTAAAAGAAGAAGGAAGAACAGAGCATACACACAGTACAAGACACCAGCGTTAGCCGAAGCCCTGTATGGGAGATGGTAAATCTGAACTCTCTTTACTGAGTTGCCGTGACAGTCTATTTATACAACTCTATCCATCTAGTCCTAATACAGCTGCCATGCTGTAACAGTGACTAAATAACACAGCAGGGCTGACTCTGCGCTGGCCTCTGCATGTGGCTACAGTGCTGCAGGTGAGCCGTGCAGCGCCTGCACCTGCAGCGCCTACAGTATCACAGCAAGGGGCCTTTTCGGCGCTGCCTTCCCTTGCTGTGTGTTCACATAAGGAAGCAGTAGATTATCTAACAATCTTCCCCGAATCCTACTGCTATCCCTTGTACTCCCTCCATGCCGATCATCTCCTTCAGCTCCGTGAGTCGAAGACGTCCGAGCGGCTTGGTGAGGACATTCGCGAGTTGCCGACCAGTTTCGACGAACTCGATGACGATCTGCCCTCCATCGAAACAGTCCCTGAGGAAGTAGAACTTCACATCGATGTGTTTACTCCGGTCGTGCAGAACCGGATTCTTCGCGAGGGCGATGACGGGCTGATTGTCCACCATCAGTGCTGGTGGGTGAGCTTCCACGCCGGTCAACTCACCCAGCCGGCGCAGCCACACAACTTGGCACACCACTGTGGCCGCCGCTACGTACTCTGCTTCACACGTAGATAGCCCCACCACCTTCTGTTTCAGCGACAGCCATGAAATTGGAGCCGACCTGAGGAAGACGAGCACACCAGAGGTGCTCCGTCGTCCGTCGATGTGCCCCGTCATGTCTACATCGCTGAACACAGTGAGCTGCAGCCTACTTCCATTGGTCTTGGGAAAGATGATCCCCTGATCCACCATCCTCTTGACGTAGCACAGTAGCCGCTTCACCGCAGCCTAGGGATCCTCTCTGGGATACTCCATGAAGAGACTGACATAGCCCACGGCGAATGCAATGTCCGGACTCGTGTGGACTAGGTAGCGTAGACCACCGACGATGCTCCGGTAGAGTGTTGCATCCACCTTCGCCGTGGTACTGGCCTTCGTCAGCTTCAGCCGCTCCTCCATTGGAGTCACGCATGGCTTGCACTCAGCCATGCCGCTCCGCTCCAACAGCTTCGAGGCGTACCCGCTCTTGACCGAGCGTGAATGTCTCCCTCCCCTGTCTCACCTCGATGCCGAGGTAGTAGGTGAGCGCCCCGAGATCGCTCATTCGAAAACGAGCCGCCATCTCGCGTTTGAAGCTGTGGATGTCTTCTATGCGCGCGCCGATGACGATCAAGTCGTCCACATACACGCCGACGATGAGCTCCTCCTTCCCCCATCACCGCGTGTAGAGCGCATGCTCGGTTGCGCATCGTGTGAACCCAAGCTCGCCCAGCGTGGCATCAAGCTTGGCGTTCCACGCTCGCGGGGCTTGCCGTAGCCCATAGAGCGCCTTGCACAGTCAGAGCACCCTGTGCTCCTCTCCCTTGACAACGAAGCCTGGAGGTTGCCTGACGAAGACCGTTTCCGCCAACTCGCCATTGAGGAAGGCCGATTTAACGTCCAAGTGATGGACACGCCAGTCCTTTGCTGTTGTCAAGGCAACTAGCAAACGGACAGACTATGCGTGCTACCGGCGCAAAAACTTCCTTGAAGTCGATGCCCTCGCGCTGTACAAAGCCTCGGGCCATGAGGCGTGCCTTGTGCTTGACAACAGTGCCGTGCTCGTCCCGCTTGACCTTGTACACCCACTTCAGGCTGATCGAACGGCATCTTGGAGATGGATCGACGAGCTGTCAAGTCTCGTTTTCCTAGATCGCCTTCATCTCCTCCAGCATCGCCCGTCGCTAGTTTCCATTGCGCTCGGCTAGCGTGAACGTGGGTGGTTCCTCTGCACTGACAAGCAGCAGCTCTGGGTCATTAAGCAGCCTACCCGCCAGACCTGAGGGACCTATGCTGCCGATGATGTTGTCCAGCCTGTGGAACCGCATCTCCTCACCTTCGTGGTAGGCGTCCACGAACTCAGTGATGTCACTTGGAGGTGAGGTGAACTCGATCAGCATTGATGGAGTTCCCTGTTCCGTCGGAGTGCTCGACATAGCACCTAGAGTGCTCGTCACTACTCCTGGACAGCTCGTCACAACTCCTGCAGTGCTCGGCACGACTGCAGGAGTGCTCAGCCTCAGTCTTGGGGTGGTCGGCACCACTGTAAAACCTCTTGGATCCGCTACGGGAGTGCTCGACACCCGTCCTAGAGTGGTCACCGCCACAGTAGAACCTCTCGGCACCACTCCTAGCATGCTCGTCATCCCTCCAAGTGTGCTCGGCACTCCTCTCGGAGTGCTCGGCATCCCTCCCGAAGTGGTCGGCACTGCCCCAGGACTACTCGGCTCTATCGCTAGAGTGCTCAGCACCCTCTTGGAGTGCTCGGCACCTCTTTCCCAGCGTCTCCACTCCCGTGGATGACCAAGTGCTTGACGACGAAGGTGCTGGTGAAGCCGCCAGCTTCCCCCATGCCCGGACTGCTCCAGTCCCAAGCGGCCTTCTCGTCGAACATGACGTCGCACGAGACAAGCACCTTGTCTCCACGTGGGTCGTAGAGCCAGTACGCCTTGGTACCCTCCGCGTAGCCCAGGAACACCATCGATGTGCTCCTGTCCTCCAGTTTGGTGAGGATCAGCTTTGTCTTCCTGACGTGGCCGATGCAGCCGAATGTCCGGAGGAAGGACACGCTCAGCTTCCGCCCATACCAAGCCTCGAATGGCATCTTGCCCGCCAGGGCCTTGGTGGGAGCGCGGTTGAGGATGAACACCGCCGTGGTCACCGCCTCTCCCCAGAATCTTGCCGGCATTCCCTTGGCCTTCATCATGGATCGAGCCATGCCACCCGTGAGCTGTCACCAAACTTCACCATATCGGTAACATCGTCGTCGAGCCCGGAGAAGGCTTCCTTGGAGCCCATCATGTAGTTGCTGGCACCAGAGTCCAGATACCACCGCTGCTCCTGGTCGGCGCCCACACGTCCGAGGTGGACTTGGGTGCGCGGTTCATCGATGTTGACTGCCTTCAGGGTCTTCGTGGACCCTGCCACCGCAATCACCTCCACCTTCCCCTCTGCCTCGACATCGTGCAGTGCACAGAACGTCGCCATCAGGATAGTGGCCTCATCCTCATCATCGGCTTGCGCCAGATGAGCCTCAGCCTTCTTCTCCTGCTTGCGATTTGGGCACTCCCGTGCCCAATGGCCCATCTTCCCGCAGCGCCAACAAGCGTTGGGGTTGACCTGCTTCTTCTTTTCCGAAGAAGCCTTGCCACGGTGCTTGCCATCGCCACCGTGGCTGGAGGAGGCTGCCTTCCCAGAGTTCCTCCGAGCAGCCCACTCCTCTGTCAGCAGCAGTTTGCCGCTGTCCTTCGTTGCTGTTGCCTGCTTCAGGCGCTCGTCCACCACCCGCAGAGGGCCTATCACATCCTCAATGGTGAGGGTGGACAAGTCCAGCATCGTCTCTATGGTGAGAGCGATCTAGATGTACTTTGCCGGCACGGAGTGGAGGTACTTGGAGACCGCCTCCTCTTCGTCGATTGTGACGCCGTGGTTCTTCAGCTTGCTGATGAGCGTTTGCAGGCGGAGGGAGAAATCCTCCACCGTTTCATCATCCTTGAACTTGAGGTTGGCGTACTCTTGCTTCAGAAGCTAGGCCGTCGCCTTCTCTGCGTGGTCGGAACTGACGCGCATCGCCGTAATAGCCTCCCATGCCTCCTTAGCAGAGCTCTTCGCCCCCAACGGCTCCCTGTACTCCGTCGGTACAGCAGCGGGGATAGCCTCCAACGCTGACATATCATCTTCCTCATTGTCGGTGCCCTTGTCAACAGCATTCCAAAGCCATCGGGATCTGAACTTGACCTTCATGGTCACCGACCACTCTCCATAGTTGGTGCGAGTCAGCGTCGGCCAACTAGTGCCGCTGACCTCCCGCAACGTGCGAACAACGACCTCCGGTCGTGGCTGGGCAGCCACAGCAGTGCCACTACTGTCGCCCATCTCCGAACCGCCTGTCATCGCCAGCGGTTAGTCTGGCGACGGCGCTTGTACTGCTAGCCCATAGGATCATCGGCTCAGGTGAGTGAAACACTCACCAGTCGTGCCGAGAATCCGCTAGTGTTGCCGAGCACCCACTAGCTAAGTCGACCACGAACAAGCGTTGTCCGTCCCCACACACTATGGCTCAAGGTTGAAAAAAAGGAACAACAGAGCATACACACACAGTACAAAGACACCAGCATTTAGCTAGCTCGATACAACAATTCCCGTGCATATTTGGACTACGTAAGCAATAGCTCACCAGAAGAGGCTGATACTTCAATTCCAAGAAAATAATGTAGGGCACCAAGATCCTTAAGTAAAAACTCATCACAGAGCTTGCCCAATAATATTGCAATTATCTTATTGCTAGAACTGACTACAATAATAT